CAAATTTTGTTTATGTTTAACAAAATTACATTATTCGTATTTGAAAAAAAAAATAACTATAATTAATACAATGGGCGCAGATAAATATGTTATACTTTACAATGACGTCGTACTACGTAAATCACAAAAAGTATTGCGTATTCTCTCAAGCAACAGACGTATTTCGATACGGTGTTTAAGCGATTACAATACTGATTATAGTCGATACAAATTATATAAACTAGCTTTCCGCCCGCAGCTTCGCCCGCGTGGAGTTCGGTTATATCGCGTTTCCAAGAGAACCTTTCAAAAGTCTGGGATAAAAACTATCCTATGTGTTTTCTCAAGGTCAACTCTATCTCTGTAAGAAATTTCATTAAAATCAGTTGAGTGGTTTAGACGTGAAAGCGTAACAGACAGACAGACAGAGTTACTTTCGCATTTATAATATTAGTGGGGATAATAACATAGCGTACACAACTAGCACTTTAACAATTAAATTGAAGACGAACAACTCCGACCAAGATACTTTTAAGACATTTATGAAAAAAAAGTTTAACTTTTTTCATTCAAAAATCCATCTTTACATAGTTCTGTATAATATCCAAACACGACATTGCCGAAATCTATTAAGAAACACCACGGCACTAACTAAAAAAGAAGAACAAAAAAAAATGTTTATCAAAATGCCTTTAGACCTTTTTGCGCATATAATTTTAGTTATGCTTGTGAAAATAATTATAATTCTCTTAGTTTAACTATTATATATGAAAATTTGTTTAGATTAAATCCTCCTATCTTATGTAGAGGTTTTATTCTGAGTAGTTAAGTATTAATTAAATCGTATAAATTCGACTTGGTCTCTTATTTTATGTAAATTAAAAATGTGTTAATTTAACATATCTTCTTCTGTTGGAGGCTGGGGTATAAAATATAAATTCTTTAAATAAGCATTATTAATATTTTTGTTTTATAGTAATAAGTTATCAAACAAGGGCTTCAAACAGAATGCTTGCTTTGTCTTAAAAAAACCTATGGCCTTATATTGAGTAATTATTTATACGGTTCGACAACATCATTAGAATCAAACAGTACCTATTTCATAACAAAATTATTTACAAAGTCAGATTATTTAATTAACACGGTGTTTAAATTAATATTAATCCTTTAATACAAATAGATTTTAAATGAACCGTTTATTAAACCAACAGTTAATCGATTAACGTAATACATATACAAGGTTAGCGACCTAACAATGGTGCCGGGGATTTTCCGAGTAAAAAACAACTTTTATTATCATCGTAACATCTGAAAACTAAATTAGATACTTTATTAGTTTGTAGAATGTAAGAATCACTGAGTTTTTGTTACTGATTTTAAATAATTTTATCATGAAGATGAATCCTTATTATAACTACCAATAGTTAAAATTTCCCTCATCTTCTTCTACTACCTGGTAATTTCTCAGCTTTAGCCAGGGTCTGCCTTAAAATTGTCCACACGCATACATTGATTATTTTGGATCATTCCCGATGGCGATAATCGTGTGATGAAACGTACTCCTTCGTTGTTTAGTTTGATGGAGTACTCTTTTTACAGATACTCATTTAAAGAGTACACTCGTAAAATTCTGGCATAGAATAGTATTTATGTAAAACTCAAATTTATACATTTAGGAGACTTTTTATTTTTGTAATATTTAAACTTATCGATAATGATACTTATACAAAAACCTCTACTGATACGCAAAATACATTCGGAAATTTTCAGATATGTAATTCAGATACGGGAAAAACCGCAATTTTTATCTACCCTAAAAGTAATGTTCAATATTATATGTAGGTAATAATATATTTCATTATCTTTGTATTTTTACAAAGGATTAAATATTGATAACGCTATCGAAACTGACATGACTATAAATGTTTATAAATAAAATAATATACTTACCTACTGTAACACACATTTTATTGTGTTTAAAAATCACATATAGAAATCAGTAATATCAGGTACATCGTAATATACTAACAGTTTTCATATAACAACTACAAAAAATACCTCCTAAATTTATTAATCCGAATCTTTGTGGGAATGTATGGATGTTTGTTTGGTCTTTTAAGAAAAACTACTAGATGGGATTTAATTAAACTATACATTAAAATAGCTTAGTCATAAGAGAAACACATAGATTGTAATTTATTTCGGAATTCCTTGAAGTTTTCGCCGGATCATGGATCGTCCTAGCATGACAGTCAATTTGTGTATAGTCTCTTGAGGAAGACAATAGATGTCGCTGCCAGTTGTTATTTGTTAATGTATTTTTATAAACATTTCTCTCTGTACCCAATTTAGACGTCCACGTAGATGAAATTGCTAGATAAGAATGTATTAGTACCTTTCTACTTGTAAATATATATCATAATAAAAAAATCATTGTATATTAGACTAATTACCGCTTGTGTTATACAAGGGTCAGGCTCTTCAGTGCGTGTTTTGTATTTCTTTAATAAACTTTATATTTATTCAATCATTCTTAAATAAAAATCCCAATGGCAACTTAATTCATATTTGATAGTGTGTATACTCGTAAACCGTATCTATAGTTTTTAAAACCATACAAGTTACCGGGAATATAAAGTTGTTAATCATCTTTATCGCTATCGCATGGCCTGGTTAGACAACGACTATAATTAGAAATGTTTAATATCAATGCAATAAATACTAATTCAAAGTACAGGTTGAGGTGATATCTTAATACACTTGTTATGTGTGGATAAACTATGAAATCATCAAACAATTGTTCATAAATTATAGTTATTAAAAACTAAAATTTAATTATTAATAAAGAAAGTAATTCATCTTAAATATTTTTTTATAATATTTGCTCTACATATTTCTCTATGTTTTGTAGAAAAATACAAATATTTTTTACAGGATAAAATGCTAGTAACAAAATTATTTTTTTTTGTTACTTTTCGTACGAACCTTCCCACTCATAACTTAATAATTTTTATCATACTGAAATTTATATTTTGTAATTGGACACTAAAATATGGTTTGATTATTATTTAAAAAATTACAAGACTGAACTAAAACATAAATTCAACAGGCCTGTGATATAAAACCGCGAAAACATTATGTGCCCGTTAATAATCATGGCGAGTTTTAAATATGTCTGGGAGATATTTGGCCCCTAGAATTTTTCTGTCTGCATAGAAATAGTGTTAAAATAGTTTTTAACTTATCATATATAAAAATCAAGACTCAGACTTAGAGTAAATTTACGTTATTTTTTTTCCAAACTTTAAAGCGTCTGGCGTAAGTTACCGCCGACGAAAACGTTCTGGCAATATTAATTTTAAATTTTTAATTCAATTTTTTAAAATATATATAATAATCAGCTCTCAGAATTTAAGAAAAGTGACCAATATTTTTATGTACCTCTAGCACCTGGTACCTGTGAATTGGCCATCGGCCCAAGTTAGCACGTATGCATACCTTCAACGTATACCCTAACACTACTCTGTACGATACTTTTCGTTACTCAGAAAATAAGTAACGTCTGGGGGCCCCGGGCTCTTACTCTATTATAATGTCATAACATTTAGCTGTAAATGTCATTTGTATGAAAATATTGACGTAGTAACAAGTTTTTTTTTTCATATTTGTGATATGCCTTCTTTCAAACTATTTCCTACCAGGAAAAAAGTATGGAGTAGTAAATTTTTTAATTCTGAGAATCCTATAGATAAGAATATTTCATTTTTCCTTCCTAAGTGATTTTATCCCATTTAAATTTATAGGTATCAGGTCAATTAATGTAATAAAAAGAAACAAGCAAAACAACTATGTATAAAAAAAAATTGTGAAGTCTAAATATGTCAATTATATTATTAGTTGTTAATTTTATATATATAACTCAATGAATACATTTATACTTTCATAATAATTTTATTCTAATCGAAAGCATATCTCTTGTCAATTGTTACTAAGGAAATATTAATATAAAGGTTATAAATCAATGGTAATAAAGATTATTATATCTGCCTATTGTTTTATATTCATGAGAATAATATTATCAATATAATAAAAACGTGATTCTAATAAAGTTATATTTCTGAAACTCAATAAGACTGATAATAATTAGTAAGTCATTACCATAGAAACTGTTGCACCAAAACAATCATATATACATATATGTACATATATATATGTATATCATGAAGAATTTCATTTAATACGTACATAGAGCCCGTTCAAGTATTACGTAAGCAGATTTATTACAATTATTTACCCCTCCATCCCCATCGTCAGCAAAAGCAAGCATAGCTCTTGCCCCCTCCCCCCATACTTACGTAAACATTTTCAATTACTATATATTTTTTTTAATATAAGTCCAGAAAAAAATATTTGTATTTTTAATGGATCTACTCGATGTGACGATTAAAAATTAATAACTACCGATGACGTAATCATCACCTAGACTCCCCTACCCCCCATGTCATCCAAAATAATCAAAGTAAAGACCCCCCCCCTCCATAGTGCTTATGTAATACCTGAAGGGCCCCTTAACAGTGGATTTATATATTAACTGTGGATTAATTTATTAACAGTTGATTAATTTATTAACTGTGGTTTAATTTATATTATTACAATTTAAGTTACTGTTAAAATGATAGAACTCAATGTTCCACTCTGATTAAAGATGAAAACAAAAAATGAAAATGAATAATAAAAAATAGTTTCACGATTTCAAATTATTAACCACTATAGTATTTATACCAATTAAATGTATTTTTTTTTTCAACTAACGCCATCTAGTTGACAATGTTGCAAACTAAAAAATTGATATCAATTTCAATTAAACTACCTATACGTTTCTTAAAAATAATCCAACTTGTAGACCTACTACTAGAAAAAAATATGGAGTTTTTAGGGTCAATAATAATGCAATGTGAAACAGTGATATAAAATTTATTAAATTTGTGTGTAGCGCCCTCTGTTGGGACGCCACTCATGTATCAACGACGAATGCTGCAAGATGTTGACTTGGCGCGTTGGATCTTCTTTAACAGGATCTGTAATATATAAATAAACCTTATAATATCTGCTTATATAAAAATAATTAATCAACAATAATTGTAATTCATGAAAGCTTTTAAAACAAGTCTTATGGTTGCAAAATTTATATAAATTATTAATTAAGTAAGGTAAGGTAGAGACCATATTATTATATAATATTATGGTAAGATATAGCTTATTAATTAATGTAAGAAGAAAATGAGAAAAGAAGAGTTAAACAACAGAGTACTTCGAGAAAAATAAATATTGACGAATATCCTTTTAAAACAATTATTATAAAAAGAGCCATCAGATATTGTTTTAAGACCATATGTTAGTATACTTTTTAACATTTTTTATATTATAATATTTGAAATTTTATGAAGGGGTCTTATCTTAAAATCTACTTTTATAATCTGCTGTCACGTGACTTCAAACACCAGCTTATTAATAAGAAAATTTTGCTTGCTACCGCACAATTTTTTTTGTATAAACATTTTGTTCATTTTGAATGTTAGAATTTAATTAAGAGAACACAAATTGAATTTACGGTCTTCGATAGCGATAAAATTTTTTGGAGTTAGTGACAGTTGTTAGTGTTTTAGCGGGAAAATTTAAAATAGCTGTTTTGTAAATTTTCTCATTGTTTATAAATTATTTTAGGGTTAACTTGAATCAGTCTTCAAAATAAAAACAATCCAAGAAACTTTTTGACACCTAGCAAAATTCTATAAACAGGACATAAAGTCCTAGACCAAAATCAGGATAACAAGAAAAAATAAATATTTTACAGCTAACTATTAACAGTAAGAAATTATGTTTTTATTTTAATAATAGATATCAATTCATTGCTTATAATCTGTGCATAGGACAATATAATTTTTAAATGTATTTATTTAACATTTATATTAAGTTAATTAATTAATTTTATAAATACTAACAAATATAATACACTTTTGTCATAAGGGGTAGTGAAATGTTTCATATATCTGCAATTAATTTTATCTTCTAATAAATACTTCATCTGAGGTACATATATGGATTGTTACAAATAGTAATTTATGAATATGCCAATTATAATATGTCAATATTATACATAAATATATTATGTATCAATAAATTCTGTTATTATTTAAATTTAAGCACAACAATGCTATTAAAAACATTTATATAAATGTGTCTATGATTTTACTTTTTAATGGATATATCCTATTTCTTAAAGCAATATAAATGACTATGAGAATGCCTCTATTGTGGTATGGTATTTATTCTGAAGGTAGGTACATTTATTTTCATTACAAAACTAATCTCACCATGTTATCGTGATCAATCTTTCTCTGCTGCATTTTTCTGTGTACCGAGGCTGGGGCGACTGGTTTTCTCAATCCCTGATCCCGAGGTGGTATGGATGACTTCTGTTTGTTCCTCGCACTCAATATTTTGTTCAGTAGAATGTGATTGTGCCTTTCTATTTCTCTTAATCTCTCGTTTGTGAATGACATGTTGATTCTTCTGGTCGGAGGTACTGATATCGAACTGAAATAAAATTTTATTAATAGTTAATAAAATGTTTTCACTTCATACATATGTAATTATTAAAAAAAAAATTGAGTATGTTTGTAAGAAGTAATTGTATGACGATTTAATTGGTATAATTTTAACGAGACTCCAAATTATGTTACCCATAATCTGTAGATCTACCGGACACCGATGGTGGCTTATTGGACATAGAGGACTGACTTTTAGTAAGTTTCGCATTTGATTTATTTATTTCCATTCTAATTGTATTATCACTTAAAACAGTCTTTTCATTTGGCTCATTTTTCTCAGCATCACTTATGTCTTCCTCTTCAAACTCATCGGAATAATGAACATCATCATTGCCATTGTCTATATTCTCAGTATCGGTATCACCGTCTTCATATACACAAGTCTCGATGCATATATTAGGTGGTCGTTTAACAACATCTACTATACAGCCCATTTCAGAGAAGTTTTTAGACAGTTCATTGACCTCGTTATTATTCTCCTCCTGATAAAACTGTTTGGATTTCAATTTGTTTGAATCTCCAGAGGAATATTCTGTGCCTAGATATCCGCTGATATTTTCTACTTTAATATCGTGTGACATGGTGACAAGCGTGCAAATTGAACAATTTCTCAATTGTTAACTAAAAAAAATAAAATAAAATATAGTATTTAAAAGTGCTAGACTATTGTAATAAATTGTGAAAGCTCTGATAACTATAATCAAAGTCTCGTCTATTTAATACGGGTAATATTAAACAAATTAAAATGTTGTACTTACAATATAATTAAAAAATTTCAATTTCTTGTTTTTATATATAGACACAAAGCATATATCATCTATAAACAAAATTCTAGCGCACTAGCCAAAACTCTAATAATAATACAAATGAATACGTCGAAACATAATAAATAGTAATCGTTGTCAATTTAATTTTGTTTTTAGAATTTTTATAAAATTACATACACACCTAGCAACCAACCAGATCTTATACATATATATTTTTTATCTAAAAATAAGTTCAAATTATATATTTTTTATAGAAAATCAATAGAATTTAGAAGCAAAATAACAAACAAATATCGCGCCAGTTACCAAGTTACGGATGTCTTAATGTTTTCATTCGTTCTTTGATAATAACAAGGACCGTTTCGTTTTACGTAACTCTTGTGAATTATTATTTATGTTATATTTAAAATATGATTCATAATAAAATAAATAAAAAGCATTATTTTATTTTATAAAACTCGTTTGTGTTTCTGATATTTTCAGTTTTCACATACACATACAAATAGTTCGTGCCTTTTGACGTCTGACATTGAAGTCATTCGCCAGTCATTCGTAGGGATTAGAGTAGAAGGAATAAAATTACTTTAAGAGTACTGAGAAAATTAATGGAGTAAAATAATGATTTTTCGCTAAAACACCCAGTGTATTACTATACATTTGATAAAACATCAAAATGGTAACCATTATAAAAAACCAACTGCTTAAACACTTATCAAGGTATGTTTGTTCTGAATTTAGATCACAGTTGATATGTATTTGTGTTAGTTTAATTAATCTTTAGCTAATTAAATAAAAACAAGCCATTTGAGAGTTTATGAAGGTTGTTTTAATATTCTAATTATTTGTAGATGGTTTTGTCTAATCAAAATTATGGCTGGAAATGATTTTAACAAATAATAGTACTTGTAATCATAATTTGTAATTTTTTCATAATATTTTTCTCAAGAGGATACCCTAGGTAGAACTTAAGATATAATATAACTAAATAAGTAATAAAATTGTAAAGAAATATATATATGTTTATGTGCTCTCACACATTTAGTTATACACAAAAATTGCAGGTATACAAAAAACTTAAATCCCGAGCAAATATCCTTATCAGCATTACGAGGTTCTGGTGAACTCCAGGACTTGACGTTGGATGAGGATCTGTTAACTGATCTACTTGAACTGCCAGGCTGGGTGCGCTTGACTTCTGCAAGATGCAATCGAGCCTCATTCAGGATTCAATGGACAAAACTAAAGACAGTTCCTATTGTACTGGTTAGTCATACATTTTATATTAATAGCTATATCTAAGTGGAATCTATGTATAAACTTCAATAACAAATGCTTTTGTTAACTAATAACTTATACTAGATTCCTTTGTTTTAGTTTTTTTAACTCAGCAATTTTATGATTTTGTGTCTCTTGTATTATTGTTTATTTAATCCATTTAAAAAATATGATTGAAAATTTTTTTAAAGAAGGTTTGCTTTGATTTTAATTACAATATAAGATAAGGTAAGTAAATATAAAATAATAAATTTTCCTTTGCTAGTGACTTTGAAATTAAATTACATAATAATATAAATAAGAATATGTTTACTAGAAAATAAAATTAAAAGTATATAAAAATACAGTTGAAAAATAAATAAATTAAAAAATCATATAATTGTTATTAAAGAATTTAATCTCAAATGTATTGTTATATGAAATATCAGTTTATACACGAGAAGAAATATACAAATAATTTTATAACTACTAAAATGTCTAATTCACCCATTATTGTAACTCAGAAAATAGTTTGGAAAATCACAATTCTCGTGTAATTTACAGTAATTGATGTTTTTTGTTGTGTAACCTTTTTTCTTTGAACTTTTTGTTTGCAAAAACTGTTCAGTGTCGTTTTTTATGTATCCATCTTTTTTAATTAATTGCAAAGCTAAAGTACAGTCATTAAGGAATAAACATATGTTTAAATATTGTACACAAATATAATTATTAATTAATATTTATTATAGAATATAAATTAAAAAATATATGTATTAAATTATTTTCACATCTTTGTATAACTATCGTTAATTTTTTTTAGGGTTGTCACCAATTACTTTAGAGGTAGTCAATATTAAAATACAAATATTGATAATTCTCACTAACTTGGCAACCCTAACGTCAATATTCATCGACTTGAGTTTTAATACCTTCTTATTAAAGTTTAATTTTAAATGAGACGTAATTTGTTCCGCACTTTCAATTCTTCAAGGTCGATCTAATAATAATTCTAACACGTTCTTATACAGCCCTAAGAATATTATTGCGATGTTCCTTTGTAGAATTGCATGTTATATATTAACACTTATTACTAAATGTTTGTGTTCTTTTTTACTATTAGTACCATAAATATAAGTGCGCGTCGAACTAACACAGTTTTTAGTTCGTTATAGAAACTCTGTTTCAGTTTAGCTTTACGATATTAACGCGTACTAAGGAAACAGATCTATTTTGTCTTATTAATAATTTTGTCTAAATAACGAAATACATAATATATAAGTGTATATACGTGATATATATTTTGCTTATAACGACTATCGGATATAACGACTATATCCCTTCAATGTCGTTATAAATGATTTTGACTGTATATACATATATGTATGTATATGTGTAAATATGTTTTTACATTAATGTTCATCAATCATAATAGCAGAGTTAATATGAAAATTGATAATATATGATTAAAAATGGTGATAATCAGTTGGTTAATGAGATAGATTAGAAAATGTTACTATAATTAATAGTTTATTTGATAATGCTCTTGATACAATCTACGTAATACAATAATAAAAGTGAGGAGAAATATATGTATTTATATTTTTACATCATTAAAATTAATTACATTTATCATTACTATTTACATTATATTATAATAATTTATTGTGTAACAAACTAAGATTTACGCGAGTACTCATTTAAATGACACTAATATTTTCGGAAATACTACCCGATTTTTTATTAGAAACTACTCCCGAATTTTCGGTTACTTTACAGCCTAGTACTAATATAATCTTCTAGTAGTAAATCTACAACTAGTATCTTCTTGTAGTAAGATTGTAGTAGTAGAAAGTCTAGAAGTAGTGTTTATTTGTTCTAGAATCTAGACGAAGTTCACATATCACTGGAGGTCTGTACGGAGCCTCGTGTTATGAAGCCCGGAGCCGGTGGTGCTATGCCTATACCGGGGAAATATAGCTATATACATAAGGTATAAATAGTCTCGTTGTTAGAATGGAAAGGAAATGAGTTTCCCTTCAGAAGAAGAATCGCCTTTATTTAGAATTAAATGATATTGTGATTATGATTGTAATTATTGAGAATTTCAATGCAATTGCAAATTAATAATTTTCTTTTACTGTGAATTTGACAAATATTACTAAGTCTACTCTTTAAATATTATATATACATAGTTTTAAATGAATTTATATGAAAAAGATTTTTTAGAATATTATATTTTTTGTTATTTCCACGTTATTACAAATGATAATTTATTATTTAGGTGATAGATGGTATATCAGTGGCTGTGAATCAAGTTCAGATTAACTTCAAATGTGATGCATTCACCAGTAGTGTTCAGGTTAGTTCAAATAATGTGTACGTAGTTTATTATATAATTGTAGTGTGTTAAAATTTAAATGTATTATCGGTTTATGAGTTCCATTCGTTCATTTATTACTTGATTACTTTTATCGTTCATTCATTCGTTTTTTTGTATTACAAAATGGTTGGTACTGAATGATGTTAAAAAACATGATGCATAGTTTTTTGAAACAAAACTCATTGCTTTAATATGGTTCTTGGTTTTTCTAAAGCTTATTTTTTTAAAGTATAATTAAAGATTTCGATTTTTTTTCAGATCTCAAGAGTGACTGTCGAGTCTCGGACGCCGGAGGGCAAGAAAGGTGATCTAAGACTGACTAGAATCAAATCCCCTGATACGGGACAGTTACTTATATTTAAGGTAAGAATATATATTATATAAAAAAATTCATAACATCCCATATAATTGATATTGTGTTAGAACATAAAACTCTTTCACTGAAATATATTTTTTAAATGTCTTAAGATTTCATACCTTTTAGTAAAAAATGGACTAAAGAAGTAAAATACTTATTTAAAAACCCCTACACTTTATATAAACGCAAGCGCCATTTTGGATTCCGCCTAAATGATCCCCCCACATAGGAATTGGAGTGGCAGAGCGCCCGTATAGAGGCGAAGGCTCTCGGCGCGGCCGCGGCCAGCCTGCCGCCCTTGAGGCTGCTACTGGGAACTACTTACTGTAGGATTGTTATTAAGAAGAGACTCTCAGGTACATAAGACATTAATAACGATTAATATTACTTTGTAGTACGAATATCCCTTCTATATAGTGATTAATGTTATTCTACACGTATTTCTGTTTGTAATTTTGTTTTGAAATATAAGTATTGTTAAGGAAAAATCTAAGAAATGAAGCTATTATAAACTCTTTATTTGTATTTATATATAATATATGGTTTTCAACGCACTTATATGAATTGTACCTTATCGTTGTTTATTGAAGACTAGTTTTTCCCCGCGACTTCGTCCGCGTTAGTTTGGTCAAGAGTAATATATGTAGGTATAGCTGACCGGGCGAACTCTATTCCGTCTTAGAGGCCATAAATAATCAGGTTTTTCCTGTTTCAATCAAACAGAATGATTGACATATTAGTTAGTTGTCAAATCTTATGTCAAAATAAAAACGTTTGTATGGGAAATAGAAAAGGGCTGTTTTTAGCGTTTTCCCGGTAATTATTCCAATTTTTCTCACCTTTTAAACCTTCCCTGGACTTTCAGGAGTATTTCAAGACTAAAATTAGCTAAAATCGGTTCAGCCGTTCTCGAGTTTTAGCGAGACTAAGGAACAGCAATCCATTTTTATATATATAGAAGATACATTGATTTGAAAGTTTAATACCACAAAATCTTGAATGTCTGTCCGTTCGCTGTAATCCCCGAAATAGCTAAAGCGATATAATTTCGTTTTATGCTTTAAGCAAATGATTATCACAAAAAAAGTATTTCACTCTTTTTGCTCTAGAAGATACTACTCGAAGTTGCGGCATTTGGTATATAATATACTATGTATTGTATACCAAATGCTGCATTTGCTATTACAGTTTGCAATTATTAAGATTTTGTAATAGTCATAATAGAAAATACAACCACATTGATCTGTTTAAAAATAGTTTAAGTAAAATTTATAATCTTGTAAAAAAACTCATTAGTAATTAATAGTTGTATTTTAGGTTACATCAAAATTAGTCCACTTCCCTGTATAAACAGTAGTGGAAACTTAACTGGCATAAGTGTTAACACTTATAATTAATATGATTATTATACATATTAAGTGGTAATATACGATTTGCTGTATGTTTCCCTAATAATAAATAAATAAATAATGTTGATACACTATGTAATGTATACTATATGTTCAGACTGCGCGGTTCTCGGTTCCCGCCTCGTAATTCGCCCTGAGCCGGTAGCGTGGGCTTTAACTGACGGACAACTAAGGGCGGCGCTAGCATGTGGAGCGGCGTTAGCTGGACCTGTCAAAAAGGCCACCGAAATGGCCACAAGGACAAAAGCTGCTCATAAGGTATATTTACTGATAATATTGATGGTAGTTTTAAGATAGAAAGTCTTCGTGAATATAAAATTTGTCCTATGAATGTATTTTTTTGTATGAGATTCTTATATATACGTTATTAGTGTTAAAACATTGTTTTATATTAAAAATTGATGAACAGATTTTGATAATGTTTGTATTCATTCAGATAGAGGAGCCTCGCGAGCAAATCCAGACGCGTGGTTCGTCGAGCGAGCGTGATATCCTCGCACGAATGTTCGCTAAACACGACGTTCGAGAGACTTCTTATCACCTGCTCGCACCCAGGATAGACCTGCATCTGTGTGATGACCCTGGATGTATGTAGGATTAAGGAATTATTAAAAACACCCTACAGACAAAATATTTTACTTATAACTACTTCTAGCTCATTATATACAAGATCCATCTAAATTATCATTTCATCACATTGAATCCATATAGGATATCCAAATGTTCATGGAATAAGTTACCGAATTATACAGATGTGTATTAAATTATATGCATATAAATTTATCGTATTTGAGGATTTAATTTGCACACACATTTATACACCACAAACACACACACATACACACATATATGTATATACAGGGTGACTGGTGAATTACTATCAATATTTAAGGAGCATACTCGGTACATGATTCTCATTCGAATTATGTAAAAAAAATAGGTATTTAATTTTTGACCAAATTTCCGTATAAATAAATAAAGTGTGTACACGTTCCAAGTGTTCCAAGTGTGGACGCGTGCGGCGGCGTGCTGGTACAACAACACGCCGCCGCGCGCGAGTGTGTGTGTGTGTGTGTATATACCTAATCTGTAGGGTGTTCACACGATGCGTAATTAATTACATAACTTTTGGTTAACTTTACTTAGAAGTTTATTAATATATAATATGTTATATTAATTTTTATTTTGTCATACATGATCGTCAAATATCACGTCCTCAAATATCGATAGTAATTCACCAGTCACCCTGTATATTCATTAAACATATTATCATTTCAGTGGGTAGGTCTGAAATGCCTCAACTAGCCAATGGAGGAGCTCTGCAAGTAACTCTAGTGAGCATGCAATGTGACCTGTTCCCTTACCATAAAGCATCAGCTGATAGAAGACATTGGAGAGGCTACAGGTCAGTAAACATTACCTGAGTACACTCTGTCTAAAAGGCCAATTATGATGACTACCACATCGAATTGCTTGAAAAGTGTTTACACTGGAAGAATAAGTATATTTTCCTTAACAAAAACCTATATTTCATTTAGCGTTTTGGAGTAATTAAGTTCTAAATATATTGAGAATTCTAAAGAATTAAAAAAATATATACTATTCTTTTATTGAGTTATTTATAACAATACATTAAAATTGGTATTCAATTCTATTTTCAGGGAAGCGGCAACACCTCACAGTCAGTGGCTCTCTCAAGCTCTATCTTCGTTTTGCACAACTCTGTTAGAGACATTGGATCCTAGACCTATTACACAGACAAATAAGGTATATTTTACTATAACTCATAAGTCATAATATTAATTGTTTAATATTCGCATCTGCATAGATTCTCAGATAGTTTAAAATTATTACCTTAATTGTTTAATTTTTTAATTAGATAACAAACGAGTTAAAACTGATAATAATGTATCTGATGAGGAAGTACTTGTTATTTTAATAATTTTTTCAGCCGAGTCAAAATGAAACAAAACCAAGTGAGGAACCAGTGTCTAATAAAGAAAATCATCGCACTACCACCGCTACTACTACTCCTACCACTACCACTAACACACAAGGTATTATTATATTACTAGCTGCGCCCCGCGGTGTTACCCGTGGATATCCGGGATGTAAAGTAGCCTATGTGTTAATCCTGGATGTCAGCTTCCTGCATACAAAATTTTATCAAAATCGGTTCAGCCGTTTGAGCGTGAAGAAGCAACAAACATACACACACACAAACTTTCGCAATTATAATATTAGTAGGATTAAGTATATGAAATTTCATCTTCACCAGATTTCAAAGATCAAATTTCATCAAAACATGTTATGATACAAAAAACCGGTCAAGTTCGAGTCAAATTCGATTTTTTATATTGGTTATAGTGACATGAGATATATATTATCTGTGAAAATGTCAACAGTTTTTGATATACAGCCCAGTGACATGAACAGCGGAGTCTTAGTCATTACTACCGATATACACTTCCAGAGCCAAATTGACAATATCTAATGGAATTAAGTTAGTATTTTTTGATAATATGTACCATCAAAATTAATATATACATTTTCTGTTGCAGTATCTCCAACGCGGACGCGTATTCTGCAACAATTGGGAAGATTGATGACTACCTGTCTCGTGTTGAGGATAGAGGACTTCACTGTTTATAAGGTATGAACGGAAATTCAAACATACATATATATTTTTTTACAACTTTAGTACTTAACTATGTATTAACAGATCTTATTGTAATTCTTTATAGATACCGAGATATTGGAGTTATGATGTATATAAACACCAATTTTAGACCGCAAAGTGCGGTATTTTCAAAATTAGCATATATTTATCATGATTTTAAAAGCTTACTATATAATTTTAATAGCTTATAATATAATTTTAATAATTTTCTTCCATAATTTAGTTTACATATGTTATTTACAATATTTTAGTGAATTTACTATACATAATATGTCTACAAAAGAAAAACGATAAACTCTAAAAAAGATATACCAAGTCCTATAAGCAAACACTCTTAGTATTGCAACCCTTGATAATAACAGACACTTATCATATCCTTATCAACGATCCGATCAGAAAGTCATGATTAGCTTAAAGAGCGTGGTTATTGTGTTCATATTATTAAGATCTAATAGTGTCATATACCTTCTATTTGTACTGAGAGTAAATATAGATATAGATAGATAGAGTAAATATTTGTACTGAGAGTAAAATAAATTTAATTTCACTACCAAAAAATGATGTACTATGTACTTGAATCTTACTTATATTGTTTTTCCCAGGTGTCTACAGGGTCTAAGTCTCGTGAAGCTCCCAGACCTTTAGTGAGCGCTGAGAAGGCGACCCTGCCAGGTGACGCAGGTCTTCTTCACGCAGAACTGACATTCTTTTACTATCCTGGGGATGTCTGCTTCCCTGGTAATGTACTATTAATGTATAGGTTTCTGCTCTAATTTTTAATATCCAGTAGAAAATTGTATTATAACAAATTTATAATGCAACTAGCTGCGCCCCCCGGATTTCCGAGATTTCCGGAATGTAAAGTAGCCTATGTGTTATTCCTGGACGTCAGCTTCCTGTATACAAAATTTTATCAAAATCAGTTCAGCCGTTTGAGCGTGAAGAAGTAACAAACATACACACACACTCACAAACTTTCGCAATTATAATATTAGTAGGATAATAAATTTCTTTGATAGAAATAGAGTCATATTAAGAAAGTGCACCGAAAAATGAAATTATTTATCTGTATTAAGATAGTTTACATAATTTATCACTTCTCGTTGTACCAGTGCCAGCCCCCAAGCTATACGTGCAGCTGAGTCCTGTTCGTGTATCAGTAGACGTGACAAGTCTGCTCTGGTTGACTGCCTTCCTTCCCCACGTTGGTGCGGCCGTCGTGCACACCGAAGACGATTCATCCTCATATATGGACGTGCGGGCAGAGGCGATTATGCCTAAGGTGAGGATGTGACTGTGTAATTTAAGTCATATAACTGACAGACTGTGTTGAAATGATGTGTATGTAATCAACAGTTTTATTTGAGTGCTCATTAATTGAAAATAATTCTATTACAAAAAAAAATTGATACTGTTAAGTAGGTCCATAAATATTATTTATTCACTGATCTCTTTGATAAGGGATTTTATATCAATCACATGAATGTTTGTTAAAAAGCGACATAATGCGTTACCTGCTCCTAGATCCTTAGCTGATAGTGATCGAACAGAAGTAATACAAAAATAGAATCAAATAAAATAATACATATTTTGTGAAGTTATTACATGATGAATCTTTACTCTAATATTACTGTAATAATAAAATGTATATTTCAGATAGTTTTAGAGGCTGGTCCCGAACACGTGTCTCAACAAAGAGATCGACCAAAAGAACTACAGATATGTACTGCTAGAGCTACTATCACTAATATTAGGGAGTCACCTAGAGCTAGTAAGTGATTCAGGATGATTTAATATTAAAATAATATCACTATTATATACTTTATTGAACATTACTGTTAAATGAATGAAATAACAAGAAATAGTCAGTCGTGGCCTAGAGGTTAAAATCCCCGCCTCTCATGCATGAGGGTGCGGGTTCGATTCTGGCAAGTACCAATGTGACTCGAAAAAATCACATTGGTACTTGCCAGGACTAGGATCGAACCCGAACCCTCATGTATGAGAGGTGGGCCTATTTAGACATCACTGATTAATATATTCCCAAAGAGGATTGATGTCAGGCAGGCGGCCTAAAAACAATTAGACAAAACTATTTCACAACATGTAAGGCAGACCCTGGCTAAAGCTGGGAAATTGCCAGGTAGAAGAAGAATGAAATAACAAGATATATATAAAATAGGTGAAACGAACAGATATTGTTTTTTTCACCCCATGATGCCATCTACAATATAATATTAGAAACAGAATATTTTGTTTACATGAATGGTCAATACAAATAGATCCTATAATATTATGTAATCATTTATTTGGAAAAACACAAAGACAACATAATATACATATTCTAGATATGTTTATCTATGAAAGAATTTTCTTAACAGTTTTAAATTTATGATTTATTAATATATTTTAATGCTGAAATAGTAAGTTAATATTATTTTCTCATATTACAGATACTGCAGGGACGCGGGCTGACTTGGCATCCATTATTTCATCGATCCGCGAGCGCGCGCCCCCTAGAGGAAAGTTCCCAACATCTACCCAAGACATAGACCCGGTGCATGAGAACTTCGTGCTACATGCAGAACGTTAGTACTATTATAAGAAGCATTGGGACTATTGAAATACTAGCTTCGCCCCGCGGTGTTACCCGCAGATTTCCGGGATGTAAAGTAGCCTTTGTGTTATTCCTGGACGTCAGCTTCTTGTATACAAAATTTTATCAAAATCGGATCAGCCGTTTGAGCCGAAGAGGTAACAAACATACACACACACTCCCAAACTTTCGCAATTATAATATTGGTAGGATAACCACGGTGAAATATGCACAAATTGCAATCTAAGATTTTCGCGTTTATTCTTATAAAAAATCATTTTTTTTGAAGTCGGTTTAAAACGTGTTGTGATATCCAGAAAACCTTAGGTGTATTTGAACAAAATTTTAAAGTTACAGTTTGATAACATGTATGGATGTTTTGATGAAACTTTTCAATATTATAGGCTAGATTATAGGATATAATTTATAGTTCACTTTATTGATGACTCCGTGGAATCACTTTGAGACCACGATGTCACGTTTAAACGTTAGATGTCGTTTTCCCTCAGTTACATTTCGGATACTTTTTTTTCTTTATAAGCCACTTTCTTTGCGGTGGTTCTTAGCTATGTTTGGTTGATACCGCTACGGAAGTGTAAGAGTATAAGGGCTTTGAATTTTAAATCCCTACTAATATTATAAATGCGAAAGTAACTCTGTCTGTCTGTTACGCTTTCACGCCTAAACCACTGAACTGATTTTAATGAAATTTGTAACAGACATAGAATCGACCTTGAGAAAGAACATAGGATAGTTTTTATCCCAGACTCTTGAAAGGTTCTCTTGGAAACGCAATATAACCGAACTCCACGTGGGCGAAGCTGTGGGCGGAAAGCTAATATTATATAAAGTGTTTACATACATAATGTAATTATTTCTTTTTTAATAGACTTGGATGACATAGACCGTGGGACAGCCATAATCCCTGAGCTTTTGTGGCTTGAGAACAGATCTATTTGGTGTGCGAGAGTTGAGCCTCTGTGGGCTGATTTCTGTGGCGCTAGAGCCACAAATTATAAACCATCGCCATTGTTGGATGCTACACCGCTTACTGCGTGGGTACGTGTGTACTAATACTAATATATGCCACAATGTGAAATATAATATTACCTGAAAAAAATACAGCTTTTTTTGCATCATTTAAAATTGATTCTTAATAAATTTGTAATCAATATTCCATTAAGTATAATTATATAGTGACTTTCCAATTGCTCTAATACCTATACTATTTGCGCTGTAGCATGGTGCGGGTGACAGTTTCAATAACGTTTCGTTTCACTCTTGAAAGTTGCCGCGATTTACAAATTATGACTTAGTATTTCAGCTCTACCACATTCGTAATAAATTAAATCATTAATTACTGAAGTAGTTTAAATTAAACCAAACCAGAATGTTCTAGTGTACAAATATAATCTAATCGAAAGAAAAATTAAGCAAAGTATTATGCGTTTAACGTAATGCCATAGACGTATTTAGTGATGGGATGTACTGCTACAGTGGATAGTCGATGTTTTTTTTTATAATAAAAAAATATACATATATTGGCTGTAGTTCAATTATTATTGTAAAAAGTCTATAATTATATTAATGAAACAACAGATCTTATATAAAGATGATTTTATTCGTCTAAACTCATATCAGAACCAGGAACATTTGAATTGTCAGTAAATTCATCATCTGTATCTGTGACGGATATTATTAAAGATGAGTTAATAATGGTGTAATTAATGTTGTTACGAAAAAAAATCATAAACCCGATTTTAATTATTTTATATAAGTACTATATTATTTATACTGCGAGTATTGTTAGTGATAAAAATGAATTACGCAACATCACTAGTCATATGGTACTGACAGATATCAACGTCATATAGGCAAATGTCACCCGCACCAAGCTACAGCGCAAATAGTAGTATAAGTATTTTTTTAATAATACTTTGTACTTTTATTAAACCTAAATGTATTTCTCCTATCTACTATAGATTTACCAAGAAGAAGGCTTCTCCCGTATCTGGGTGATAGCTCGTACGTGCGGCCTCAGCGGGCTTCAGATACATCACTACCAGCTGTTGTTCTTAATGAGACAGCTCGAACGGATCAGTGAGCTGACCGCTTGGATGGCTCACCAAGCCAGCCGGGTGGAAGATGACCAGGGGTAAGTAACTTGGTATACTTAACTAACTAACAGTTGTTGGACTATAATTTCCCCTTGATAAATATTCTTCTTCTACCTGGCAATTTCCCAGTTTTTAGCCGCGTCTGCCTTACATGGTCTGAATAGTTTTTGGTTAATTGTTTTTACGACCGGCCACAAGCCTGACATCAACCTTCTTTGGGAATGCATTAATCAGTGATGTCTAAATATTCTTAGAAAGTACGTATGACTCGGAAAATCACATTGGTACTTGCCCCGGCCAGGATCGAACCCGCGCTCTCAAGCATGAGAAGCGATCCTTTTAACCACTAGGCCACCACTGACCACTTGCGAGTCTTATTATTAGGAATAAAACCCGAAAATCTTGTTTAATTTCAGTTTCAATAGAAAGTTCCGTTGCACAGTAAAAAGGCGAGTTATAGAATACGTTTTAGACAATGAAAAGATTTATATTGTAATTACGTGTTGGGGTAGTATTAGAAAAAATGTTAATAGTTGCGCCTGTGTAAATAAGATGGTTGACGGTTGTTGACATCATTGCTCTGTGAATTGTAGCAGCCGCGACACCTGTTTGTCTTTTTTTATATGAAAATTGTGGCAAACAAGCAGACAAATTACTGTATAGGCAGTAGTCAGCTTCGCCCATGAACATCCGCAACTTAATAGATGTTGCCAATGCGTTGTTGTCCCTGATTTTTGTGGAAGAAGGAAGGGGTGGGAATAGGGAAAGAGCAACCGGCTCTCTCACTCATCGAGGAAACGCAACGGTACTTCCCCGGTCGAGCCAGCACATGTTCGAGATGTAGTAATTTGACCACAGCTAGGCCTAGATTTTCTTAATTCTATGAATTTTGTTCCAATCGTCTTTGTAGTTTTGGCTACCAAAAACTTGAGTAATGAACATTTAAGTTATTATTGGTTTATTATAAGTTTCAATATAAATTATTCTTTTCAGAACTATGGTAGTTGGTCTGGTAGTACCGGCGGTTGAGTTGACGCTCGTTCTACCAACTAATTGCCCAGGACAAGAGTCTTCTAGAGATCTGGATAGTGTTCCTCTGGACTCATCCAGTCTTAATGACATGAAACTAGGTGAGTAAAAAGACGAAACCTCTCATCATTCAATGTATACACCGTGCGGGTGTCGGGTCCATCGTTGCAGGGAGAGGAGCTTCAGTGCCTGGGACTTACGACCCAGGTGTAGGTTTAAGGGACCCCTTAACTAACGCGCGTTTAACGCTCACCTCCACTGTCCAAGCTCCTCTCTCTACCTAACCAAATTTGAAAAGAACCTACTAGGGCTGCCTTCGAAATACGCTCCAAGAATGAATTAATGTTTATTCTGGACAAGACCAAGTCTTTTAGTAGGTTGTTGAGAGATTTGACTGTTATACCTATCAATTAATTACTAGTAATAATAATATATTATAGCCATAAGCTATATCTTCAATATCATTGCAGGTTTAGAAGTGACGATGGCTTCATCAATATGTATGTGAAAAAATATGAATCATATTTTTGAACTACATTCCTAAATCGTGTTATAAATGTGACTAAAATATTGTGTGTTCTCGTAGTATTTTTGTAATTAACAATAATAGAGGTGTATGAGTGTCGAATACAATACATAAAAATAGTCAAGATTCAGCTTTTTTTAAAGTATAATGTTTCGGTTTAAAGACATTTATTTCTCATAAAGAACACAAAAGTTCACTTATAATAAGAAATTGCAATAATTTTGCATGAGGGTACATTTAAAGGTCTGCCTTAAGAATTATATACAGTGAAATAAAACGTTTCGGGTAGTTATATATAGTTAGTTTAAAAAGGAAATATAAATTAATACTAAATCATATTTTAAAGAATATTTGTAACAATAATTGCAGGTTCCGAAGCTACAATGGCTCCATCTATGATGGATCGTGATAGCGGTGTGTTAGCGACGCAGGCGTCTGTGGAAGTGTTCTGTAGTCAACCCCTACCTGCCGAAGAGATTCCTCCATCCAGCCCTGGATTGAGTTTTGGAGGTATGACTAATAGACAAATAAAAGTTCTATAGTATACGTAAATATTTTGCCTACTTCACATTTTCTCCACTAATGACTTTCTATATACCCTCGCTACGTCACATTAGACAATTATTAAAAAACGTCAGTCTAAGTTTTGCTTGAACTTCTTTTACTTTAATTACAAAACCAACTAACTTTGTAAGGCTTATAATTAAAACAGTACGACTTCTTTGTAAATCACTCGTTTATTTCCAATTTAAATAGAATAATGAACAATTACATTCAAACGTGTTCTTTAAATAATCTCTCCTACGCCCTCCTCAACACATCATACCACTTACATCTCGCCCGCGGTCAGGCCATTAGTCAACACAGCTCCTCTTTCTTTTGTTACACTACATTTAATATACAGCAGTCTGATTTCGATATCAATCGCAACAGAATCGTCATATAATTAAATGAATCACACATTCCTTCTTATTTGCGTTTCACACCACTCAAACTTTAAGTATTGTATCGTGCTTCTCATCTCAGCAGCTACATACCCCATATTATAAAAATATGATACCATCATGACATATGAGAACCTTGTTAAAATTCTACAATATCTATTCTTCGAAGGAAAACATCGTGAAGAAACCTGGACTTATAGTTTCACAATTATAAGTTTGAAATCACCAACCCGTCTTGAGCAAGCGTGATGATTAATGCTCAAACCTTCTCCATGTGAGAAGAGGCCTTTGTTCAGCAGTGGGCTCTGATAGGCTTATGATGACGACTATCGTGCTACGCATCATCAGGCCTATATACCCCATATTTTAAGATATGATACCATCATGACATGAAAACCTCATTAAAATTCTACCATATCTATTCATCGAAGCCTTATCATAATCCTCTATATTCCAGGGTTCACGTCCATGCGTCGCGGTCTCACCTCTCTAGTGAGCTCCATAGACAGTGCCTTGACCCGCGACGACGGTCGCAGCGACGCTGCCTCTACAGCCAGTTCTGATAGTGACCGGTACGTGGTTGTGGGACTCGCGGCTGAGTCGCCCGACGACGCGGATGTCGCCTTCAGGTTAGTAGGAAAAATGTCGTGTGACGTCACATTGATTTAACTCGATAGGAGTCGTGACGTATGACGTCACAATAATTGTTATCTCGATGGGAGTCGTGACGTATGACGTTATATTATGTGTGAACTCATCATCATCAGCCTATTAGAGCCCACTGCTGAGTTAAGGCCTCTTTCTCACATGGAGAAGGTTTGAGTATTAATCACCACGCTTGCTCAAGACGGGTTGGTGATATCAATCAAACTTATAGTTTGAAATCATAATTCCAGGTTTCCTTCACCGTCTGTCAGTAGTGTCTAAATACTCTTAGTAAGTACATATGACTCGGAAATTCACATTGGCACTTGCCAGAATCGAACCCGCGCCTTCATGCACGAGAGGCGGGCTTTTAATTACTAGGCCACCACGACCATACCTAACTTAATAAGAGTGATGAATTAATAAATGTATTATAAACAATGTGTTGATTCCCAAAGAGGGTTGATGTCAGGCAGGCGGCCGGTCGTAATAACAAATAGCCAAAACTCTTCACAACATGTAAGGCAGACCCTCGCTAAAGCTGGGAAATTGTTAGGTAGAAGAAGAAGAAGAAGAAGAAACTATACGTGTTGTATATAATGTTTCCAGGGAGTTCGAGCACGGTCGTTCGTCAAGTGGCGTGGAGGTGGCTGCCGAGGTCATGGAGCGGTCTTCATCACCCAGTGACCACTCCATCACTAGTTCCTGTAAACGAAGAGACGTTGTAAGATGTATTCATACTCACATTATAGATTATTAGAGATTATTTTTTCACTAATACAATTAATATACATATTTAAATTATTTCCTATAAGTAATTTATGACAAAAGAAAAGAAAACAAATTCAGTGTTATTTTCATATAGTTTTCGTAATTTTAGCTTTGTCTGAAAATGGTGTTTCCTTATTTAAATGTCATAGTCGATGGATTGATTAGAGGGTCTCTTAATATTCATAAGTACTAGTATTGAGTGTTTTTATTTTATGTGTTATCGTATCCACATAGCCTTAAACATTTTTATACCTACATAGACATCATTGTATTTTAACGAACTTATATTACAAACATTGAACTTCTAGTCATGTTATATAATATAATAATTGATTTTCTATACAAGAGGTTCTCTAAACATCCTGTATATCAGCAGATATCTACATGCACGATTCGTCTGAGCAGCATACACGTAGTACAGCAGACTACCGCTGGCTCATCTAGCGTGCGGCTGGCAGCTGATGATGTTAAAATGGATGAATGCGCTGCAATACCCTGGGATGAGTTCCAGGTATTAGCATGATAATTAATTTCATCTATCATACGTCCCCTATAACACGCGTCCCCCCTGTCACGATACTCGATCCCGTAGCATGTTTTATTCGATAATGTTCTATCATGGTAGGGGCCATGCATGACGTCACCCGTCCTATATTATATATAAACAACAAATGCTGCATCCCTCTCTAACTATGTGGTCTATGTGTATTTTTTTTCTCTCTCTATGGCAACTCCCGCCCGCTCGGCTATCGCGCGACAGATACGACTCAAGGTATTCAGTGATAAAGATAGTACATAGTGTAACGTTTTGTTGGAACTATTAGATGTAGTGTGTCGTAGCCAAGGGGGTTTGTCTGTGTGTATGGATGACGAACGGTTACTGCGCTCTCTATATTATATATATATTGATATATCAACTAAAATTATATGTAAATAACGTTGTATTCGAAACCGAGAACGCAATAACCTAGGCTTAAATTTTATTTGAAACTATAAAATAAGCATGTATGTATAAAGACAACGTAACGACTTCTGGTAATAAGTTTGATTCATACGATTAATGTTGCCTGATATAAAAGTTATAATCATTGCTCGATAAAATAAAAAAAATTGCATGTGTTGATATCATCTCATCTAATTGTATTTTTATTTTATTTTTTCTGAACGTTAATCTAAAAATATATATGTCCATGTAATATATTGTAAATGTTTTCGGTATTAGCTTGTAATTTTGAGCTTATATGTAAATAATTGCTTTCGTTTTAATTAATATAATTTTTTATATATATGTAAAGCTTAAGTAGTTAGTTTTTATGTAATGAAACACAAACAAACCTTCCGATTATCAATAACAGTAGTTCAATAAATACTTATATGATTTACATAGACATTTTTAGTAAAAAAACAACAAAAACAGCATGTGCATGAAGTAACACTATACACTAATATACACAAGTACAAACGTGTATAGAATGTTTTGTACAGTCGTGTATAGACCGTGTACATCTATGTGTACAGAATAAGTTCTCTATGAGGGCGCGCGCCTGGTCGGACTTGGAAGAGGGGGAAAAGAGTGGGGATGCACCCAAGGTCACACTCAGACTGAACAGGACTGAACTACCACGGACTGAAGAGGAAAAGGTGGGCTATAATTATAATATTGACTAAAAATCCCTACTAATATTATAAATGCGAAAGTAACTCTGTCTGTCTGTCTGTTACGCTTTCACGCCTAAACCACTGAACTGATTTTAATGAAATTTGGTACAGAGATGTAGTTGACCTTGAGAAGAACATACAGATAGACAAACAAAAAATAAAATCCTCTTTCTTTTCATTAGAAATCAATGTCGACGAAGCTAATGCAGGTTATCGTATTATACATTACATAATATTTCACCAGAGAACGCCCGGAGTTCTGGCGAAGTCTTCGGAGTTGTTAGAGGGTCAATTACGATGTTTGAACCTCTCTCTCGGCATGAGCACTGCGCTCGCTCTCTCGGAGTTCATAGAAGATGAGGTTATCGCGCCTCCTATGCCTTTAGAGGTGAGTACATTGTAGAGAAAATACATTATATATATATATATATATCTTCTATATATACATATATACTAGAAGACCCGGCGAACTTCGTATCGCCCTATAATCAAGAAATATCTGTTACGTTTTTTTATTTCTTTTATTGGAGTTTACCTATTAAAGCCATAAATCTCCGTATTTTGAAGTGCGACAGAATGATTGACAAATAAGTTAGTTGTCAAATCTAATGTCAAAAAAAAAGTTTGTATCAATAACTACTAATAAATTAAAAATTAATTTAAAAAAACATTGTCCAGCGGACGAAATTGTGAATCTAAACAATTCCCAGATCCCCTTGAACACACACAAAAATTTCATCTAAATCGGTCCGGTCGTTTGAGAGAAGTTCAATGACATACACACTCACAGAAGAATTATATATGTATATAAAGATTAGCAGAATTGTAAGCGCCAACCTCCGGTATATTATAGTTGAAATCTATTCATGTCAATGTAGTTTTCATTCTATATTATCTATTCGAATATTCATTAATATGTCATTGTCTTTATTCACTTTATTAAACTTGCAGGTTCTTATAGAGAATTTGAAACTGCATCTCATAGAGGACAGGCCGACTCGATCAATTTCATCCCCGCCTCCTCAGCCGTTAGACCTCAATCTATCCACTATCAAATTAAGCCGGGATTCATCTGGCGTGGTACATCTTGGACCGCCCAATAATGAAAACCTCTCCCCGGCACCCGCGTCCCCACAACAATCAATAGTGGATGAAATACAGAGGCTAAACGATGAGAATGAGGAGCTCAAGAAACGATTGGCGACACTCAACAGAATAGCTGAGGACAATAGGGAATTGAGAGCGTGAGTGTGCATACAATAATACTTATTTATATTGGACCAAGGACTATAATCCTTTGCAGTTCCAAATATTTCATACGGAGAGTTAGGTTTTTCGCTCGTATAAGGATGTATCTAAGCGCACGGTAGTGCGCCGGCCAAGTTCCACAGGCCGGCGCATGCCGTGCACTATATTTACACGAACCGTTTCGACCCACTTTTGACCCCCCTGTAGCTCAGTGCCTATTGCAAGTACAGAGATAAAATTTTACCTACGTAATCATATACTAGAACTAAAGCAGTATGCCAAATTTCATAGATAAAGCTTCAGTAGATCCTGAAATATGACCCTGTGAAAATAGCTAATTTTGGCACTGACTCACTGACAGGTAATCAAAACCTCTAGGCCACTTCCCATTGTTTTAGCATTATGAAATTTGGTACACAGGTTGTGTGTTATATGTAGATTAACAAAAAATTAAGAAATTTAAGAAATCGGTCAAGCGTGAGTTGCCTCAATTCTAAATATCGAATTTTTAATAAATTCGACCCACTTTTGACCCCCTGTAGCTCAGTGTCTATTGCAAGTACAGAGATAAAATTGTACCTACGTAATCATATACTAGTCCTAAAGCAGTATGCCAAATTTCAGAGATAAAGCTTCAGTAGATCCTGAAATATGACCCTGTGAAAATAGCAAATTTTGGCACTGACTCACTGACAGGTAATCAAAACCTTTATATAGGCGCTCAGCTCAGCACAATAAAATACATAATAATGAAATATTAATGATTAATAACATGAGTACATCTTTCAATCGGTGATAAATGAAACTAAAAAATAAAAAATAAATATAGTTTAAAAAAAACTAAAAAACACGCTCCAATGATGAAAGAAACCGCGTGGAAACTAATTTAATCTTTACAACCTTGGAAATCAATTTAATTTAAATTGTTTAAAATAAACAATAAATGGTATTATTGAAAAAAAAGCGTGGGGCGCTTCTCAAGAAGTGTTATATGAAGCTCATCACGCTTTTTTTTCACAAAAATACCATTTATTGTTTGTTAATTTATTTTTAAATTAATATTATTGTGAAAAAAGTGTGGGGCGCTTCTTAAGAACTGATATATATATATACATATAAGGGATAAAAAATATTGTCATGTATACATTATGCACACTGTATAACTTAATTAAATATTGCTTACCTAAAAAATCAGGTTTCTATTGTTATAAATTACTTTCGATAGATGGTGCTAGCGGTATAATTGAATCGCGATATTGTTTTGTCTGCAGTATATATGAATGAAAGTCGATAAGGAATCGATGGTCATTTCTTTCTACACTTATATCTTGATATCTTATATATGGTTACGATTACGATTAAATGGATCACTGATTTGACTTGCTAAAGGATTAATTTTGATATTGCTTATTGATTGATTACTTGTGTGTGTTAAAAGCACAAATTCACTCTATTTCTTTTCTACTATTCATTTACCAACGATGGAAATTGTACATCTTTCGGTGGTTGGCGGAGATATACCACATAGGGTAATTCCTTTGCCATCAGATGGTAGCTGTATGTTTCATGCTGTAAGTTATGCATTGTACGGCTGTATAGTACGATTGTATGTACGATTTCTTGAAAAAAGTATTGAAATCTCACCAAAAACATGCCTGTTAAAAAGGGGGCCAAGTTCCAATCGGCTAATTGTTTGCCTAAAAAAGGGGTGAAATCCAATCTAATGCCAAGTTTAGATGCACTTTGAAATCGATCATAATCATCTTCATCAACAGCATGATCCACTGGTAAATATTTGCCATTCCCAAGACTCGCCACCACACCCAGTCCTCTGCCTTCCACATCCAGCCACTACCCGCCACCTTATTCACGTCAACGGTCCATCTGACCGAAATTCACTTTACCATACACCCAACTTAAAATATGGTATAGTTGTGAAAATACGTAGGTGCTTGGTTAAAAATATCTAAAATTATAATACTTCTAAATTTGAACTTGGCAGGTTAATTTAATTATTTAAATTTAGTATATTTAAATTATATAAATATAAATAATTATATAACTTAATAATAAATTAATGATACAATTAAGTGTTACGTACAGCACAAAAACCTGCCAAGTTCAAATTGAGAAGTATTATAATTTTAGATATTTTTAACCAAGCACCTACGTATTTTCACAACTATACCATATTTTAAGTTGGGTGTATGGTAAAGTGAATTTCGGTCAGATGGACCGTTGACGTGAATAAGGTGGCGGGTAGTGGCTGGATGTGGAAGGCAGAGGACTGGGTGTGGTGGCGAGTCTTGGGAATGGCAAATGTTTACCAGTGGATCATGCTGTTGATGAAGATGATTATGATCGATTTCAAAGTGCATCTAAACTTGGCATTAGATTGGATTTCACCCCTTTTTTAGGCAAACAATTAGCCGATTGGAACTTGGCCCCCTTTTTAACAGGCATGTTTTTGGTGAGTAACTTCTACGTATATATTATGTTGGTTCTACGTATAATGATGCATTATAATTGATGATAAGTAGGTAACGTTGCATATATTTGTAAATGAAAAATTTAATTGTGGTTGGAGTCTCTCCGCGTATAAGAAGTGAAACTTCGTAATGTTGGAAATTAGAATGTAAACAGGAAGTGCTAGAAATTGATTTTTAAGGAATTTTGAGTGTTTCTGTAAGACTCAAATTATTAACAAATCCCCATTGATTGCCCGCATGCGTTCGAAAACAACTCATAGCCTCTATCCCTGTCTCTTTTTTCCCATCCCCCAAAAGCGTAAACATTTAACGCAACCTTGTTGGAAGTTGCATAAGAAGTTTCACTTCCATAAATAAACGTGTTCTTACTATTATATTTCCCAGTAAACTAGAGGAGGCGTCGGTTCTCCGTCAATGTGCTCACGCGGCGCAGCAAGAAGCAGAGCGACTTTTGGCTGACAAACACGACCTGTTACAGACAGTCAGTGTACTTAAGGTATGACTTATACAAATCATATATATTTATTTATTTGAATAACTTTGCCTTATACCATCAATCTTCTTCTTCTGCCTGGCAATTTCCCAGCTTTGACCAGGGTCTACCTTTACATTTTGTGAATAGTTTTGGCTAATTGTTTGCACGACCTGTTATTAACTCTGTTTGTCTGCCTGATATTAACTCTTTTTGGGAATGCATTAATCAGTGATGTCTAAATACTCTTAGAAAGTACATATGACTCGGAAAAATCACATTGGTACATTGGTACTTGCCAGGGCCAGGATCGAACCCGCGCCCTCGTGCATGAGAGGCGGGCCTTTTAACCACTAGACCACCACTGATTATCTTATAATCAATATCAGGATCCATATTCTAATTGATGACGCGCGAACGGAATAAATAACCAAGTATAGAACGTAATAATTTTTTTTGTCGTGGGACAATTTGCTTTATGCAAAAAAAACAAAACATCTCTGAGTTCTTGCATAAGTAAGGCATTACTTTATGCCGTCACAAATACTTGTACATGCAAGGATAGTCGGGTTGTTTGAGACAAACTGCTAACTCATTGGAGAGGCGTTGAAAAATGTCACCACTTTGAATCCCCGCGAGTACATAAGGGTGAATGTGCAGAAAGATTATTTTTGACTACGATTTCATTATAATTAAGCAAGTCATTCTTACACGTAAGGAAGTCAAGTGTTACACTTCCATTTTTCTGAATTAGAACAAATTGCCTGCAGCCTTTTCTATTCAATTATATGTAGTTTGAATGTCTTCAAGGCTAGAGTGAATAAGTTTTCACCAAAAAAGTGTTTCATCTGCATTCATTTCCATCTACTAACAGCAGCATTTACAGTCAAACACGTTATTCTTATTTTATATTCAACATATATGCTAGGAGTTATTCATTAATTAAAAATTTAATCACACTCCCCCCATATGTACATATATATGATCTTTTTATATATTGTAAACTAAACGAATAATAATACAATATATTATCTCTTTCAGGAGCAATTATCAGGATCATTTCGTAGCAAGAGGTAGCGCTCCCGAAGCGGGCACGGCTGCCTGGATTGCACTGCCTGCTGCCCAGACCACCGATTGTAGACCTCTGACACAACCACAGATGTTACAAAACGAGGACCCAGTTATACTGGAAATTTCTGCCAGTGTTAAAGCCCAGTGTTGCTTACATTGGACTTTATATACAAAATACCATAGATCTTGAACAGTGAAAGAATTAATAATCGTTTTTGTATTTATATGGGAAATTTTGTATGTGTTATTCCCAAAATGATGATATTTTTTCACTGTTTTGAGATTTACGGTATGTAGACCAATGGCTCATATATTATACAAGAGTTCATGGGCCAACATATAGTGGTCTGTTAAATATACGAATATATGGGAGCATATACGGGACTAACAGTTTAGGACTTGCGTTTGTAAAACATATGTAAAATGTATTGAAGAATCTGTTAACCCAAGTGTATGGGTGTGTGCAATATGATTATATATCATTATTTGCGTCAGAGGCTACAAAAATAACAGATTAATTACAATTTGAAAACTTAAATATCAATAGAAAAGTAACAAATACTTCATAATGACTTGTGAAACCATTGAGATGAATTTGAATTAATTTTAGGACTTAATATATATAAAATTCAATGAATGTGCGAACATAGTAGCTCGTCCAAAATTAAGATTCGGCCAAAATATTATGAATAAATGTCATATATTGTATGAGATTGTGTGTTAAACGAGATTTTGTACTCATTTTGTGCTATTTAATGTAATTAGAATTCGGGTTTTATATATCGTAATGTGTTTTGAATTGTGCTTCCCTGATATAATATAGATTTGTATATACTATCACTTGTAACAGTATAAGCGAGTCCATGATTGTATGTAATAAAATTTTTAGTCACATCATAATGTTGGTACTTAAAATGCATTTATTTTGTGATCCATAGATAATTATTTTGTTTTTATTATAATAAATGACCTTTAGATACATTAATTTAATAACAGGTAAAGTACTGTAAACGAAATCGTTCCTTTTATAACGAATTGAATTGAAATCGCAATAACAAATGTCTATAGATAGTAAGCTTTTGCAGTTGATTTATTAAAAAATATATATTTTTAATAACTGACTAGCGGAATATGTAAATAATGTTGCCATATCAAACACTGGAAACTTCCAAAAAACATTTATTAAAAATACATATAAAATGTGATATTTCTTTTATATGCAGTTGGTATTTTTATAAGCAAAGTAATTTTTTAAAACGCTCCAAAAACCTTCTACTATTTTAAACGGATTGAATCGGTTGTAAAACGAATATTTCAAAATAGTTTCTTTTTGTCAGTGATTAAAAACTAGTGCTTAAAAATATGTTAAAAAAATATTAGTCGTATATTTTAAATTTATTTTATTTTAATTGTACTTTTTTAATACGAATTTAATCGATTTGTAATAATAAAACCATGTTGAAGCCATAAAAAAGTTACCGAAAATAAAACCATCTATATTTCAATAGTGTTATAATTTTAAAATTATTTGTAACCACGCTTTGGTAATTTATGTGTGAGATTTCTGTACAATGTATATTAAATCAATGGGTTTCCTTTGAGATATGACTGATGTTCACTGCCCATTCGATTTATATTATATCAAAGCAATATTAGGTTCGGCATTTGATGTTTGATATCATAGATTATAATAGGTGAATCTAAGGTGCCTGTATCATTACATCAGTGTTATGTAACCTCCTTATATATAATCTTAGTCTTTGTGTAGTGTGAATCATATGTAAACTTTTTCTTATATATTCTCTATGTATTCTAGAATTTTTTTAAAAAATGTAATCATATATGATAATTATGTTACATATAAATTATAATCAGTGCTTGCTAAATGAAGTTTATTGCTAACTATATATGCAATGTATGTTATACATATATGAATTTCGAATTTTCATTGGTATGTACATTAAATTTAACTTATTCATATATTTAAACACTGAACATAATTGTCATCTTCCTATTGGACAGGTTAACATATTTTTATAAAAGATAGGAAATCGCTTGGTATTTTTACAATCGTGTGTTTTATTTTTGCAGTCTGGTAGATTTTTAAATTCAATGAAAAAAGGCTATATTTAATATGTTATTACAATATCTAAATAAATGGTTGTTGCAATCTATTAAGTTAATTAAGGAATTGTTAAAATTAAATTTAATATTCTATAACAGTGATTTTATTTATAAAACGTGTTTTTCTGTGTGATTCTTAAATTAAAATAAAGGTAAAACAGTTTGGAATGTCCACACTCGGTGTTGCTGTTATAAAAAGAATGAGGTGTAATGAGGTATCTTTTTATATAACGCAAAGGTTGAACATCTGTAACGTTAAAAATAGAATCTGTAAGAATCATCGCCAAAGTATAAAAAAGCATATTTTTAGATTATCTTGAAATATAAAAATTATATTTATAAATATAAATTTTAAAAATAAAAAGTATATTTAAAGTACTCATGACATATTTGAGGAATAACACTGGCAACATTAGTTGGTGAGTCAAGAAATAACGTGACTGGGATCAGTGGCAACATTTTTAGTTATGGCCACCAGTTGTTGGAATGGAGCTCAGTGATAGTTGACGGATTTTTCGCGTTGAAATTTTAAAGTTTCTTGTAACTCGTATATTGTGTGAAATAAAGTAATTTTGTCAGTATTCGTGCAGTGTGTCGAAAGTGACAAATCCTGCTGTGAATAAAGTCAAAGAATGTTTGTTGTGCCCTTAAAGTAATAGGATCAAGTCAGTGATCATATTCTATTGGATTACGGTTCACAGTTTATTCAGCTTATAATATATACAGGTTAGTGTTGATTTTAAAGCTTTGATAGATTTGTACTTGGTTAAATAATGGTGCCACGAATGCGAATTGCGTGATGTATCTTGACTGCGGCCGGGAGATAACGGATGATTATAGCAGATTGCGTAGATTCTGATAAGATTTCATTCCTACTGCAACATTCTATGTATTCTAAAAATAAGATAATTCTGATAATAAATACAAACCAAGCATATTAATGAAATTTATTGCTCGTTGAGAGTAAACATGGTTTATGCTCTATTTCCCTCGGAAAGTTAAAATTATATTGAGACATTTCAAAAGTGAGCGGCGTTACAGCATTAGTCATTTCTTGTTATTAATAAGATATAAAAACATGATAATTTCATGGCAGGTATGAGATCAAAAATAATTATCAAAACGCACTTACAATACAGTTATTTATATTTTTTATACAGGAGTTCATCTCATTTAATGACACTATAATCAGTTTGTTGTATCGTTTTTCTAGGAAATGCATAATTATTATTAGTATTATTATCCAGGCAAACTCAAAAAGATATGACATCATATAATTGTTTAATTTTATACTAAGTAAAGGCATATGATTTTCATAATTAGAAATATTATTAGTGTTAATAGCTATCATCATATTAATAATACAGATTTTAAAACTGATAGGTGAAATTAAGACACCTTCATAAAGTTGGTAATGTCTAATCAATAAGTAGTAGAGTAAGTTGAATTAAAAACCTTGGTATTTTTATACAGTGACATTACAAGTATGGCTTCCTAGTTCAAGGTTGTGATGTTTATATGGAATAAAGTGCTAATTATATATATGTTTAAATAATTCATAATCAGAATTATATCTAATCTACCAGACACCAAAATAACTATTTACTAGATAAATTGATAATATTCCAAGGGTATATATGAGATTTAAATATATATTTAAAACATTATTATATATTATAATTGTTAAATAAAGACTAAATATTTAAGTCTTATATAATACATTAGCCATAATAAGTCAAACTTTTAGTCTAAAGCTAGGTTTTAATATGTGTCTTAAATTCATGTTAGTTATGATCATCGATCGTATTGTTCCAATAACTTGCATTAAAATTTAATAACTATGTATATTTTATTATCTCCTAGAAGTTATGTGCAGTAGTTTCAAAGATTTTTATATTAATTAAATTCTAACCAAACTAGTAAGAGGGAACCTATATATAATGAAAATAAATATTAAATTTATATATGAAACATAGAAGTTGTAAAAAAACTTCTTGATACATATTATGTTATAATTGCTAAAATTTTTGTCTGTTTTTTTTTCATTAAATTACTTGATTGAGAGTAACAATTCTTATTTATTTAAACTATGTTGCAAAATCCTATTATCTAATAGAATTAGCTATATATACATACATACATTCTTCTCACTAATTGTGTAGGGAGATTGTTTGTCCTTTCATTTACATTTTACACTATATGTTATAATTTGCATGAACTTTAGAAACTATATTTTCAAGGCCGCATTTGATATAATTGATTTAGAAATGCAGACTTTGTCAAAGACAAGAAATTACTGGGACATTTTAATAATAATTGTATGAATTTCTCAATATTATCATGATTTTGGCACAACTTCATCCTTTACTTCCCATAATTATTAATATATAAATAAAAAATATATTGAAATTGAATTTTTTCTATCTGTTTTGAGCCACTTAGTATCATATTTATCAAAGAATTTAATTTATCTTAAATGTGTACCAAAGTGATATGAAATACACTAAACCTCACACAGAGGCCATATCTAAGCCATTGATAAATACTAAGTTATCATTTTATCTGTGGTCAAGGCGGCAACAATGGAATGCCCTAGATAGTTATGGTATTTGGGAATTGAATGCAGCAGTTGTTGAGACAAGGCCGTACACTGTTTAATAAGCTGATGTTTGCTGGAAATTGCAAAATCTTTTGCTGTTTGTACTTTAAATTAACATAATTGTTATTTTTCTTATTATTTAAATGGACTTATTTCTACACATATTATCTATAAATATTAACAAAAATATAAAACTTTTATAACAAGCATGTAAGATTTTTATAATTGGCTGTTGTAGATTCATTTTGATTAAAAGAAATATCGAAAACCAGTTCCTCGGTTCTGATTTTGAATATTAATTTTGTGTGTATCAAAAACAATATTTTCCAAATATTTCCATTTAACCAATACAATGGTATGCTGATATTTTTTAACGTATTATTGCCAAATGACGAAACCGCGTCGCTGTAATCGCTTACGTTTACAAGAAACTTTATATAAGAGGTAAAATACCTGTGTATATAGTC